GTAGATAATTTAATTCTAAAAAAGAACCATTGGTTGTTTATCAAAAAAAAAGTTGTACATAGTATGCAGGCGAAATAAATCATAAAAATTATTTTTCCTTGTTAAATCAATGGGAAAATTTTAAATTCGATGATGGACCTTTTAAAATTAATATTACAGACTGGACTATGTAAGATTTTTTGAACATAATTTAATGCTAAAAAAGGATTAAAGGATTGTTTATCAAAAAAAAAAATTCTACATATCATGCAGGCGAAATAAATCTTAAAAACCTATTTTTCCATGTTAAATCAATGGGAAAACTTTAAATTCGATGATGGACCTTTTAAAATTAATATTAAGAGCTCAAATTTTGACAGAAATTATGTTTTTATTATAAGTGATAAGATTTTTACATGAATTTGAAAAAAGAAAAATATTGCCTTATTTTGAAACACCCTAATATGTATACTGCCGTGCTTAATGAAAACGCCGTAACCAACAATTTAACGCTCTACAAAAAAGGTCTCTTATTATTTTTCGATAAATTAATTTCTTCTAGAGTCATTCGAGGTCAAAGTTTGATTAACATCAAATTTTCTGGTACAATTAGCAGACGGGAGGTGAAAGGGGGAAAACTTTGACCTCGAATAACTCTAGAAGAAATCAATTTATCGAGAGTAGAGCGTTAAATTTTATATAAGAAACTGCAATGATCATTGTCATAAGTTACTTTGATACAAAGGTATAAAATTCCAAACATAAATTAGTTTTTTCCCATGTTAATTCAATGGGAAACTAAAATAAAAACAGCGACCTCTTAGAGTTGAGCTGGAACGCCCATATTTGGTGAGGATTTTTTTTATATTAAATAAAAACATTTGAGAGGGTAAGAGCGAAAAAAAATTTTTTTTGAAGCACCCTAATGTACATATAAAACATTTTTATTTCAAGCGTACAAGTTTATATACAAAATATACAAAACTAATTTATACCAAATGGGTAAAGATATTTACCTCCTAGTAAGTAAAAAAAAACATTTGGAATAATCAAACAATTCGACTACTATCCGATCTAATCTAACCCCACTTTCTACTTTCTAATTCATTAGTATAATTGTACGTTTTATGTATTGTTTAACAAATAAAATTTTGCTTCACCCATTACTAAAAACCTGAAAAGTTATAATAAATTGGGCCAAGGAGTTTTTAAAAATTTTTAAATAATAACTTTTCCACACTGTATCTTGAAAACGAAGCTTTAATAGTAAATTAAAGAACTAATGTCATAAGACGTCATTTTGTAGCACGCGGACAATTTGTAAAGGACGAGTGCGACAAAAGGTCTTATGACATGAGTTCTTTATGCTATTTTATTTTGCAAAAATTCCATAAAAAAACTTAATTTTATACCTTGAATTTCATTTGGTCGTTTTATAATTTTATTTAATTTTTTTTATTGATTTTTTTGTATTTGGATGATGAATTTAGAAGATTTTATAAATATGGTACTTAAGACATTATTAAAAAAGGGCATGGACAAAAAGATCTAAATAAGGAATAAAAATTCCATTCTGGAAAAATTTTTTGGGGTTTTTTAGTCTAAAGCACCCTTAATTAGTTATTAATTACATAAAGTAGCCAATCACAGCCGTGCTTTAGCAGAATTGGTAGAAAGAATCTTTTTTAGAAATCCGATAGCTATGAACGTATCGTAGTGTAAAGTGACCTTAATTGTAAAGTTTTCTGACATTGATGAGTCAGATCGAAAAACGCCATCTTAGAATCCAATCCCCTATCCACCCATTTTCTGCTGTCCATTACTTTGTATATGTATATTATATTATTAATTGTAAGTGTTATCTGCTTAATTTATATACCAAGTAAGAGAAAAGCCCCGTTGTATTAATAAGCAAAAAAGTATAATACCTTTTGCATTACAATGACAACAAGAGGCTTCGAGCGACTTGATCAAATAACATAAATCATTGCCATAAAAAAATATAATCCAATTACCATACAAATAGAAAATAGAGAAAATCAGTTTAAAAAAGTTTAACGCCTAATGTTATCAACAAAAACAAACACGGGCACACAGGCTTAAATATCGATTTACCATTAATAATTCTCGCTTTTGTTAAACCTGGGTCGACTATAGTCTCTGTATATTAGAGTTCTTCGTTTAAAACGAATATTGTTTTAATTTCCCATTGCAAATCTTCTTCCATGTGTTAAAATATGATTTAGTCCAACTTTAAGAACTTGTACAACGTCGTCAAAGTTTATTCGTGCTAATAGCATGTAAATGTTTCTTGTTTCTTTTAATTCAAAAGTTTGATTAAAAGATAACTGCATTAAATATTTTTTTTGCTGTTAACTTAAGAAAAAAAAGTAAATAATATTTTTTGTAGGAAGTTTAGTCTTTCACAAAAAAGTTCAAAAAATATTTGTTAATTTTTACCTAATATTAACAAGATTTTATGTTAATCCAGGCCCACTTAACTTTATGTTTTGTTTACCAACTGTAATCTGTTAAAAAATTAAATAGAATAAAGTGAGCAGAAACATAAGCTGCAGACGCTGAAGTCAGTTGAACTTGATAATGCGTATTGTCAGTGGGAAATGTTTTGATTGACTGCCTGAAATAACGTGTAATTTTCAACGAAATAATTTGTTAAACATTAACAAAATGATCTGTACACAGTAAAAAAAATCAACTCTAAGCAACATTAGAGTTCACACAGGTCCACACTAAATAGTGTTGTTTTACACTACAATTAGAGTTAATTTGTAGTGTAATTTTCCCCAAATAAGCAAGTATGATTTAACACTATAGCACTGAGGATAAAGTAATTTTACACTCTATTAAAAAGTGTTAAATTACCTAAAATCGTGTACTTCTACACTTCCTGGGTACGATCAGAGGCAAATGAGCAGTCTCGGTCAAACAAAACTACGTACATACATACACTTCCTGGGTAAAATCCCACTTTTGTTCAGTGTAAATTAACACTACTTAGGAAAAGTTCTAATTTTAGAAAGGTACTTTTACTCTTTTAGTGTAAAGTTCTAGTGTAAATTAACACTATTATTTGAGTAAAACCTATTGGTGGTAGTGAATAAAACAAAAAGGTAAATAAAGAGAAAAATTTATTTGGAACAAAAATCTATGACAATTATCAAAATCGGTGCCTTTTAAAATATAATTTTATATTTAAGTCGTATGGCTGGCTTTAGCAAAATGGTTCCTTAAAACGTAAAATATTTAGATCAATGCAATGTTTTACTGGCTGTTAACTTGTAAGCAATAAATTATCTTGAGAATTTATCAGTAATCCATTTTTCTGTTATAAAAAATGGGTGATCCCATTGTTAGAGAGGCGTCAGGCGGCTGTATGTCGGGGATTTACCACACGTGTATAAATTTTCCATAATATTAATAAAAATGTAGGTATAGGTTAATATAACAACCATTACGCTTGAAAATAAAAAGTAAATCAAGTGTGTATGTATTTATATTATTAATGTTACAAGTACCCGACCTACTGCCGTAAATTACACTAGGCAACAAATTTTAACTTAAAAAAAAGGTCCTGGTTAAAAATAGAATTTTTCGATTGTTTATGACTGAAATAGATCCAAAATGTTTAAAAAAAAAATTTCTGAAGTCGGTAATAAAAAATAGTAGCACAGTATTTTGGTACCATTTATTGCATAGATTTGAAAATTTTAGGATGACGTTACTTTTAACTTATATTTCAGCATTCCATGAACAACATATCTGTACATATTGTAAAAATTTAAGGCATGTTTTTTTGATGTTTACTGTTTTTTATCGTTCGAATTATTTTGTTTACTTAAGTAAACAAAATAATTATTTTTATCGTTATTATTTAACAATTTTTCTTTGTATCATGGTCCTGCCCGTATCGTCTAAACAAGACTTTGGAAAATTTTTTGGTCGCCGGATTTGCGTCAAGCAGGTGAAAATATATAGGAGTGTGCTATTTTTATTACCGATCTTTTTTATTTACTAATTTTTATCGTTATTATTTAACAATTTTTCTTTGTATCATGGTCCTGCCGGTATCGTCTAAACGAGACTTCGGAAAATTTTTTGGGCGCCGGATTTGCGTCGAGCAGGTCAAAATCTATAGGACTGAGCTATTTTTATTACCGACCTTTTTATATTGTTTACTAGTGTTATTGATATATAATATAGGTCGGGTATGGACATCCTTTTAAAATATTGGTATTTATTGAGTATTAAGGCTTAAATAAAAAGGAAGTATAATACTTACCAAAAAATAAGAATGTCCCCTTATGGATTTACCGTAATTAAAATCTGAACAAAAATGCCACACTTCCACAACGCGGTATCTCCGGATATGCACTGCGTAGGTAGATAGGTACCAACCAAACATTTTAAAACGCATTTCGGTTATTACCAGTTTTATCAGTCTATTATGCCACTATTGGTGTAATTTAACTTTAATTGTGATAAAATGTGCACTAGTAGTGTAAATAAAAAAGAGCTCTTAGCAACATCAAAACAGACAAAGAAATTGGCATGCACTGTAGTGTACATTTTGTCACTAATTAACACCTTAAGGGGTAATAAACACTCTCATTAAGTTTTTTACCCTTTTTGATGTATTTTAATAATAAATAGTGTGAATGTACCAATGAATAACGTTCATATTCTTTAAATGTGTTAATTAATTAAAGTTAATAAGCACTAAATGCTACCTAGTGTATTTTGTAGTGTAACTTTTACACTTACAAATCAACTCTAATATTTTTACCCCCACACTAAAAAATTTACACGGGCAATTAACAAAATGCTTACAAAATTGCATATTACCTTTATAAAACTTTCGGTAAAATATTTTTCTTTGTTAAAATTTTACAAAATAAAAGTAACAAACATCAAATTCATGTTAACAAATCTGATTTTAATCATAGTGTTAAAATTTTAGAAAATATATGAACTAAATAATAAGGATATTTTGGTTGTTGCAGATTGCGGGTGGAAAAGGCAGGAGGCGGCTGGTGTCCCAAGCAGCAAGTGGAGCGCGGTATACGCGAATACCTGCAAGTGGACTTGGACGAAGTGCACTTGGTCACAGGCGTACAGACGCAGGGGCGATACGATAGAGGCAGAGGACAAGAGTACGCGGAAGAATACATGGTGGAGTATTGGAGGCCTGGTCTGCAAGATTGGAAGGAGTACAAGCGGTGGGACGGAAAACAGGTGAAATATTTCAAATATTTGTTTAACATATCAACAAAGTTCTTTTTTTAAGTACTATGCTCCACACCTCAAAGTCCCACCACGTGACCACGTACGGAACGCAGTCTTTTGACAATTTGGCATTTAAGGCTTTCAGGTTATGTATCTGTCAAAGAATAGTCAACGAAAGAAATAATATTATGTTTAGGCGTTAAAAATTTATAAATCTAAAATAACATTAGAATAACAATGGATGGTTTAAGAATTTAAGAATATAAATACTGCATTTAATGAAATTCTAAAGTGTATGGTGCCAAACACAGACTGTGGTGCCAAATAAGTAATATTTTTGTGCATTTGGTCAAAATATCTGGTTTTCTCCATAAAATAATTTTAACTAAACAGCATTTATTTACAAAAATCTAGCTTCTTTATTATGGAATAAGAATATCTGTATTAAAGGTAGGTTAATATATTATAACAAAAATATCATCTAATTTTGTAATTTTAAGGTTAGAAAAATTTATTTTGACCAAAATAAATAAGTATTTTGGATTATTTAAAATACTGTATAATATGGTATTTAAAAATGTGGTACTTTTTCTTATTCAGCTTAAAGTGTACCTACATAAAGTTTTGTCAATACAAATAGTTAAAAAGCTTTGACTGAATTTGATCTACATCAAAAAATCATTATAACTTTAAAAAATTTAATAAATCACATGTCATGGGAGTATTAAATATTTTTACATTGCAAGTTTCTCTAAAAATTGTTTGTTTTCTTATAATATAACTTAAAGTAGGTATGCCGAGAGGTATGCACAAGTTTTTTCGTTAGAAGTATGAAAGCTTCAATTTAATTTGAACCATATTCAACAATTATTTAGTATACCTACCTATATTTATTTATGAACATATTAACACACTCTTCCAAATAATCCACTTATTTATTTTGGTCAAAATAGATTTTTCTAACCTTAAAATACAAAATTAGATGATATTTTTTGTTCTTATACATTAACCTACCTTTGATACCAATATTCTTATTTCATAATAAAGAAGTTAGATTTTTTTTAATAAATGCTGTTTAGTTAAAACTATTTTATGGAGAAATGTAGACCCAATGCACAAAAATATCACTTATATTGCACTTTACACTTTGGAATTTCATAGTGATACTATAAAGATTTATTAACTTTTAACGCTTAAACACGCGGTAACACTATAAATATTATTTCTTTCATTGACTATACTTTGACAGATACATAACCTGAAAAGCTTTAAATGCCAAATTTTCAAAAGACTGCGTTCCGTACGTGGTCACGTGGTGGGACTTTAAGGTGTGGAGCATAGTACATATTGCTGAATTCATAATTTCATAATTTATTCGAATTTGTAAAAAAGAGGGGTCTCAAATTAAAAAAAAACTGCCGATTACGTCATGGCTTCTTTACATCAAAATGTGAGGAATGAAAAAGCAAAATACGTCGATTTTAAAGATTTTTTAATGAATTTGTCCCGTACTTTTGCCGGTCACTGTATATTTAAGGTCCAGCCTTCTTTTTAAAATTAAAAATTTTATATTTAATAAGTATAATTTTTTAAGTGTTTTTGCTTAAGATTCTTTAATATTTCTTGAAAATTTTAATTTAAGATTTTTTGACGGAAAAAAAATATTTAAATTTACATACATTTTCTACCTTAAAAGTATCATTTTACATTTTAATAAGGATATGGAGAGCTAAAATTTTTCCTTTGTGAATTGCACAGGGAAAAATTAAATTACTAAAACCGATTGTAAAAATTTACACGATCCAACCAGGAAAAATGTTTAATGCTTCTGCTCCATTCGCGATTTCCATATCGCCACTCTTTGCCAGCTTACAGTTTCGTCGCCTCGACAAATCCATTAAAAATTTTAATCGAATCGAAATTTCCCAATCAAGATTCGATACGAACGAATTTTTATAATACCGACGGGATATTAGGGTCACCGAGCAATTTGCAAAAGGCACCTGATAAAGTCAATTCGCTCTACTCGTATACTAACTATACTAATTATACTAGTGAAAGCATGAATTAGGAACATCTTGGCTGGGTCATCGCACTGAAAGGGTTTCTCATTTGCTAATTAGGGTTAGGTGTCCTTAATGTATGCAGTAACTATCTTAGATCATTTCCAAATCAAAAAATACCTTAATATACCTAGGACAATGGATTGGACAAAGAGGAGCTCGGGATTGGCCGGTGAGATCTCCAGATTTGGCTTCCCTAGACTTATTTATGTGGGGTCATTTAAAATCAAGTAACTCCAAAATATTGTCACTCATTATATAACAAGTGGTATGAATATCATCGATGATATTTTCGAATTAAAACCGAGCTGCAGATTTCACGAGTCCGCAGGACAAGTGAAATGTGCTGCTTCAGTTTTAATGAGTAAATTTCATCGATTAATAATCATACCACAAGTTTATTTAGTGAGAAAATATAATGAATTTTAGGATTTAACGAATTGTCAGTTTGACATTTGAAATTAAAATGTGCTTTAATAGTATATTATGTATTAAGTTTGATAAACGCCATTTTATACACGAATTTAATTTAGGCACGAGAGAGCTTGCGAGAGAGTGCTTAAGTTAATGAGTGTATAGAAAAGTTTATAAACGAGGTGCATACTATACTTTTTCTACGACAAATACTTATTATTATCTTAAAATGATTTAAATCAAAAATTTGTATAGAGCGCCATGTATGAAACAACAGGGGAAACTGTCAAATGTCACATTTATACATTTTATAAACACAATTATAAAGATTAAAAATCGAAATGTATCTTGAAAATTGACAGTTTTTCACAGTGAAAGTAAAGGAAATGTTTTATGAGGACTTTACAGTAGAGTCCGTTCCCGAATTTAAGTTATAGTTTACTGCCGGCGAAATTAAAAGGGCAGAACAATTTTCATATAAACTTTTCAAATATTTGCGTTGAGAAACTATTTAATATATTTGTATTTTTGTATTGAGGTAATACAATTTTCACATTTAGTATTATTTTACAAGAAAGGCACTTTATTTTAACGATTGTATGACATTTGACAACTGTCAACTAACTTAAAACTAACTTCAGCCCGTGACTAAAAACATGTTGCTAACTTCAGCCCGTGACTAAAGCGCCGTAAAGCCACTTGTCAATGTGGATTTGAAAGGTCAATATTAATGAATTGTATTGTCTATGCAGTAATTTATTGATTTAAGGTCTAGGCATAATATTAAAAATAATAACTCGAATTATAATCCTAAGAAATACATATATATATTACCAAAAACCGCTAGTCCTAAAAATAAAAAAGTAATAACATTACATTAAAAAAAAATAACAAAAAACTTGTAAAAATAGATTTTATAAGACCCATTTAGGCACGCCCTATAATATTTCATAGCAGATAATTAAAAATTTAGCTTGCATTACTTAGAATTTCTAAAAAACAAAACAAGAAAATAAAATTTGCTGGCACTTAAGCTTGAATGAAATAGGCAAATTAAATTCATGGCAGGTGCCTACTTACACATCTTTTGTGCAGGATAATTAGATTATCCCTCCGCTTCACGATTTATTAATTAAATCAGGCGTGTAGAAAAAAAGAAGACATAAATAAAAAGGATTCATTCAATTTCCCTAATTTAATTCTGGATTTACCCAACAAAGACGAAGGCCCGGCTGACCTTCTTCTTCATGCGGAAATTTCAGTAAAATGTAATTCCATGTAAAAATAGGTCAGCAGTCTTACTTCAGGGATATACAATTTATATTATATTATATATATATATATATATATATATATATATATATATATATATATATATATATATATATATATATATATACAGTGACCGGCAAAAGTATGGAACATATTCATTAAAAAATGTGCCTTTTTCCTCTCAAAAATTCTTTTGCTTTTTATTAAAAAAGTTTTTAATTCCGCATATTTAAAAAAAATTCATACCCTCTTTTTTGCAGATTCGAATAGATTATGAAATTCTGTATTCAGCAAAATGCACATGTAAACTTTTTGGGATGATATTTCCAGATAGCACACAACGTCTTGAAGATATCTTTGGTATGTCTGTATTATGCCTGAACGTCTGAAGATCTAAAAAAGACGTCTGAAAGACGTCTTTTGATAGACGTCTTAAAGATATCTTCATTTAATGTTCTTAAGACATCTAATAAACGCCTGATACCGCCGCTTATTTTTTTTTTAATTTTTTGATAAAATAGTGAATTTTGACAAGTCAAAATCGAAATTATATCCCATAACACTAGGCAACAAATTTTAACTTAAAAAAAAGGTCCTGGTTAAAAATAGAATTTTTCGATTGTTTATGACTGAAATAGATCCAAAATGTTTAAAAAAAAATTTTCTGAAGTCGGAAATGAAAAATAGGAGCACAGTATTTTGGTACCATTTATTGCATAGATTTGAAAATTTTAGGATGACGTTACTTTTAACTTATATTTCAGCATTCCATGAACAACATATCTGTACATATTGTAAAAATTTAAGGCATGTTTTTTTGATGTTTACTGGTTTTTATCGTTCGAATTATTTTGTTTACTTATTTTTATCGTTATTATTTAACAATTTTTCTTTGTATCATGGTGCTACCCGTATCGTCTAAACGAGACTTTGGAAAATTTTTTGGTCGCCGGATTTGCGTCGAGCAGGTGAAAATCTATAGGACTGTGCTATTTTTATTACCGACCTTTTTTATTTACTTATTTTTATCGTTATTATTTAACAATTTTTCTTTGTATCATGGTCCTGCCCGTATCGTCTAAACGAGACTTCGGAAAATTTTTTGGGCGCCGGATTTGCGTAGAGCAGGTCAAAATCTATATGACTGAGCTATTTTTATTACCGACCTTTTTTTATTGTTTACTAGTGTAATCAGCCACTTCATAGTAAGATATAATTAGGTACCATCTTATTTTGGTGTAATAGAAACAACATTAATGC